CCAAAAGTTCAGCCTGTAAAGCTTCGACAAAGTAAGAAGAGTTTACTGGTGTCTACAAAGACTAATGTAAGCATGTGATAAGAAAACTTTTGCCTTTTTATTTTAGTGGAGTATAATTTTCATGCAAAATATTACAGTGATACCCCTCTGTGTTTCTTGCAGTATTTCTTTTTTGAAGTGGGAGACTCAGGTGAAGACGATAGATCTTCCCACAGCAAAATGCAGAGGCAGGTGTGAATTCTTGCAAGCCATTTACAGTGAGGGATGGAGAATGAAGCTATAAATTTCTGCATGTTTATCACAATTAGCTTGAATTACATATTAAGTAATTGCTCTACAGCTTTGGAATTATTTTGAGTACTATGAAGGGAAGTTTCTGCTCTGTCTAGATTTTTAACTATTTTTGTTAGGAATGTGCAGCAGATGATGTTGTTTACATGTCATTTTACAGAACATTTTTTTCTTAATATAACTCAGTTCAAAGCTTGATCCATTCATATAAGAGGTCATGGGATCAAGGCCTAATCAGGTAGTAGTTAAGAGACTAATATAGAAGACTTATTTCTGAAAATTAAAAAGTGAATAAAAAGATGTAGGAATATTACATCATTGTTAATGTCTTTTGAATCAAAGACAACCAAACCCCATTTCATTAATCAGTGCTTGTACAGCTGTGCTAGAGTAATGATTTTCTTGAGGCAGCAGGACGTTGCTCTGACATTCTGCTCATTGGTAAGTGATAAATTTAGCCACAGAAGATTGAAGGGGGCATGGCAGCAATCTTTAGAACCCAAAAGGCGGCCGCAAAGGCAAAGAACTAATCTTTCTGCCAGGGCTAAGGGCAGAGAGGATAAGAACCACACTGGTATGACATCACCAGATGTCTCTGTGGCGCACGCCCGTGTCAGGGCAGGGACCCAGGCTGAGGCAGGCGTTTCAACCTGGGTCCCTGCCCTCTTCCAAACTGCCCTTTAGGTGGGGACTTTCTGCAGCAACAAATGCTGGAACAGATTGTCTTGGGAGATTGTAATATCTTACGTCACAGCAGGTTGTTAAGAACAAATTAGATGAACTTTGGCTGACAAAGCTGGTTCTTGCGTGTCAAAGAGTTGACGAGAGCAGCGGTTGCTGGGCCTGCCCTGGCAGCATGGGCTTTGCCGGGTGCCTAATGGGGAGCTTGGTCCGAGCAGGCTGGGAGACGCCGCGGGGGCTGTACGGCCCCTTACCACTCCTCCTGCTTCACCAGGCTGGTTTCCTGGTTGCCAACAGCGGCAGTGACAGTTGCCTACGTTTGCAGATACCTCCGATGGCTGGTGGTCAGCCAGGTCTGAGGAGGTTTCCAGGCATCGCCTCCTTCCTGCTGGGGAACCTGCTTGAGCAGGCACCAGGCAGCGAATGTATCGCAGCAACACACCATCCAGTTGCCCCCATCCTGCAAACGGGGAATCCTAACCACAACACTCTTTTCCTCATAAGCGTGACAGCTAAAATTGAGGTGTAACAGGTGTCAGGTCACATCCGAAGTATTTAGTTTTGTATTTACAGCGTGTTATGGGATGGGGATCAAATGAATTTCTTTCACTTGTGGTTTGTTTGGTTTGCTCTTTTTTTTTTTTTCCCCCCCTTCCCTTGGTTACTTCCTTAGAAAACAAGCAAACGTCACCCACCAAATCTCATCCTGTTTGTTCTTCTGTCAGCACAGCTCCCAGGGGCTGGCCCCCCCGCGGGCAGGCTGCCGCTGACCGCTGCCATCGCCCTCGCACCTGGCGCTG